AGTGGCGTTTGTATGCTGCACAGACTCAACAGACAGCTCAGGCGGGCAGCAGCGGGAGCTGTGTGCTTGCAGGTTGATCGAGGCGCTCAGCCTGCTGCTGCTGCTTGCATGCAGAGTGCTGCTGTTTGCATGCAGCGTGCTGTTGCTGCTGCTGCTGTGCTGCTGCGGAGGTTGCAGCAGCCAGCCCGGCCCGTACCCAGCAGCAGCAGCAGCAGCAGCAGCAGCAGGCAGCTCAGGCCCTAGTTGACGCGTGTGCCACATCATGGAGCTGCATGCAGCATCGCAGTCTTTTGTATACTGTTGTGTTCCTGCTGCGTATGCATCAGCAGCTGCATAAGAATTCATCTGCTGCTGCTGCTGCTGTTGCTGCTGCTGCTGCTGCTGTCGCTGCTGCTGCTGAAGGTTTGAAGTTTCCTGAGGGGCCCCAAAAAGCGGCAACACGGGAGCCGCGGGGTACTGCCCTGCAGCAGCAGCAGCAGCTGCTGCTGCTGCTGCTGCTGCTGATGGGCCTGCTAAAGGATGCCAGGTTGCTGCTGCATGCAGCTGTGCTGCTGCTTCGGGGTGCTGCTGCAACTGCAGGGGGTGTGTGCGTTGCTGCAGCCCGTGAGTTTCTCTCGCATGCAGAGATGCAGCAGAGCTGTAGAAGTCTGTGTGTCTCTGATGCAGCTGGGCGTTGTTTGCTTTCAGTTTGTTGTTTGGTGTTTCTGCTGCTGCTGCAGCTGCAGCAGCAGCAGCAGCAGTAGCAGCAGCGGAATGCCAGTCGTTCGTCTCTGCAAGCTGAAATGCGTTTCGTTGCTACTTTTTAAACACAAGAGAAAAGAAAGAAAACAATCATCACTTATTATTATTATTATTATTATTAATATTAATAATAATAATATTAATAATAATATAAACTAATAAATATAAATAACTACGTGAGATGGTTTTACCTCATTGGGGGGCCCTCGCTGCTGTATATTTCGTGTGTATGCAGCAACGCCTGGCCGGCTGTTTTCTGTTTGTCTGGCTGAGTGTGATTCTCTTCGATTCTGCAGGAAACTGAGATATTGAAATGAAGGAAATACAGCAGTGAGAGCTGCTCACTGCATGGTTTCGGTTTGCTTTCTTGTATCCGTAGCTGTCGCCGCAGGCAGCTGGGCTTGTTGTGGTGTGTTTCTGATGAGAAAAAGTAACGAATAGAGAAAAATTACTTTTGTATCAACTGAAAAACAGCAGACGAACCTCTTTACTCGGAATTTCTTCATGACGAGATCTGTAGGTTTCGGTACGGGTATTGTTCAACTTTTGTTGCTTTCTTTGCTGATCCTCATCACTGAAGGGTGTTTCGTTGCAGCCAGGACCCCAATCGTTATTATGGTATTTCCAGGGGCGTTGTTCTGACGTTGCATGCGAAAAAAAATGATAAAGAATGCAGAAAAATGCACCGAGGACCGTCACAAGCGCCAACCCTGTCTGCACAAAAAACATGAAAGCGATGCCTATTTCAGAAGCCATAACGGAGCTTTCTTCTCCCTCGCATATTTGAATTAAAGAATACCTTTTACATTCACAAATTTAAATGCAAAAGATGCACGGATACCCCATGAAAAAAGAAAACAAAAAAAAGAAAGCAAAAGCTGAACGGAAACCCAGTCACCGTTCAGGTGTACATGCAGCTACGGATGCACTGAAACTTGCAAAAAGGCAACACCTGTTCATGTTTTTTTTTTTGTGGTTTCTATGCAAATATTATTCGTTGAAACAAAATAAATACAATAAACACAACGTTTGTTTCTTTATTCTTCTTGATTTCCTGCTGCTGTTTCTGAATCATCTACCTACACTACCGCCGCTGCTCTGTATGCTGCCGCCGCCACCAGCGAAACTCTGAAACATAAAAAACTTTTATTAATTCTGAATTGTTGCTAGAAACATCTGCACTGTCGTTGTTTATATATAGAGGGATTCACTGCTTGCCTTCTATGCATTATATGTGTTTATGCAAATTATGTATCGCTTGATATATGTATATATATATATATATATATATATATATATATATATATATATATATATATATATATATATA